CTGAAGTTTATGTTCTGGTCTTTGTAGGCGTCGGGATCATGAATGGCCAGATGTCTCATCAGATTGCCCTTATGTCTGAACGCTTTGTTACACTGCGGACACTCGTGTGTCTTCTCCTTGGGTTGCGGCGCAATGTAATTGGGATTATGGTATAGATTCTTGTGTCTCTTCAGTAACTGCTTTTGTCGAAACGATTGCTCACATAAATCGCAGTTAAACTAAACGCAAATCACAAAACAAATTATTCAATACAATGACAACAAATATAATCTTATACTGTGATAGTTGTGTATAGAAATTATGTATAACTTTAGTAACAAACGATAACGTGTTTTAATTTAAATAATTAACAATACAATTATATTATAATCTATACACAAATTGCATTCATTATGTGTTTAATACTTAATGAGAAATCTAATTTTAGGGGAACTATCACTGGTTTGTGTTCTTATAATGTCTTATAAAAACTATAACATTGTTTACCGGTTTTTGGTCGGTATGTATCAACATATGAGACTCGAGATGTCGGGCCGAAACACTGGCGTAATTACATAAATCACATTTAAAGCACTTCTCGCCCTCGTGTGTCTTCAGATGCATCTTAAAGTGGTAGCGATCGGGAAAACTCTGATCACATCTCTTACACGACAACAGTTTATCGCTTGTGTGAAGCTTTTGGACGTGTATTCGGAGATCAGTCTTACGGCCACATGTGGTCGGACAGAGTTCGCACTGTTGGACACGAGACACATATAGTTTAACAAAACACCAATACAGGTAATCATATAATGAACTCATACTTTGAACACTGGTTTGTTGCCGCTGTGGATGAGTCGATGCGCCTTAAGTGAGTTGCTTTGTGTGAACCGGGCGTGACATACATCGCACTCGTATGGCTTCTCGCCTATCATTCAACAACACATCCATTAGACAATTCAGACAATCACATGATTAACAAAGCAAATGAATGACAAACCGGTGTGTATTCTGAGATGTCTTTTCAATTTGTAAGTGTCAGGACTGGCATAAGTGCAATGCGGGCACTGATACGGACGCTCTCCGGTGTGACATCTCATGTGTCGCTTCAGTTTAGACAACTCGACGGACGCGTAATCACATTCAGTACATCTGTGAGGCTTCTCGTGGGTGTGTCTGTAGCGGACGTGTCGGACCAGCTCTCCAGATGTGGTGAACGCCGCGTCACAGTATTTACATCCGTGCGGTCGGACACCGGTGTGTGTGTTGACGTGATTCTGAAGCGACGCTATTGTCTGTGAAATGTGACCAAAGGGTTAGTGCATGTCATGAGAGGAGAGGGAAGAAAGGGATGCAAACCTTGAAACCGCGCTCACAAATGCCACACTTATGCGGACGCTCTTCGCTGTGGGACTTCATGTGTCGGGACAAGAGGTACCTCTTATTACTCGTATAATTACAATAATTACACATATGTTGGTTAGGGTTGGAAGAAGGGGTGGCCGGAGTGGCCGCCGCTTTCGTCTTCTTGGCCGACACAGCCGTCGGTGTCTTCTTCTGGCGTTTGGGTGCCTTCGGTGTGATGTTTGGCTTCACATCCAAATCCATATCATCCATGTCTTCGTCGTTGAGTAACGACGCCGTGTTCTCCAACTCATTGATGGCTTCCTCTTCGGGAACGTTCGGCAGATTAATGTCATCGAAATCATAGACCGATATATCGTTGGGTCGATCGGACGCGTCCTTCTTCTCCTGTTTGATGCGTTTGATCCGCGTTTGCATTTGTTTGCTCTTTGGGGTCGACTTCGAGGCACTAGTCTTGGGAGTGGTTGTAGTGGCGGGAGTAGTGATGGCCGGTTCCGTGCCATCGCTGGTCTGCGGCTGTTGTACTATCAATACATAGCCACCGCTGTCACCGTCGGGAACGATGGCCACCGTTTGATAGCCGCCGGCGTCGTTGGCGGCACCGGATGTGCTCGCCGTGTGTCCGGTGGCCGCCTGTTCTGCCAGCATCTGAAGAGTGCCATCGTCTATACCCTGAGCCAACTTCTGTGTGTCGATCGCATAGAAAGCCGACTCATTGTCACCGCTTTCGCCGATCTCTTTGTTAAACGATTGCAAATAGTTTTGTATATCAGAGATGGTCTCCGAGTTGTGGTCACCCATTGTCTGCAATCAATCATTGGTGACAATCATTAGAGCATTCAATTCAGTGCAAAGCGGGTCTTATTTAGCATTTTATTCATTTCATGTCTTATTTCAATCAAAACAACTCAAGACTAGTCGTAAACATCGGGAAAGAGTGTAAACAAAGCCATGAATGCCAAAAGTCTTGTATATTATCCGCCATTTTATTGACAGTTATGTTGTGTTTGAGAGGAAAACGTATTGAGAAAACAAAGGCTAACAGAAAATGGCATAAAAATCGCAGAAAATAGCGATACTATTGACTAAACATAAAGTGATTTACAATTAAAAGCATAAATCATTTCATCTGATTATTAGCCAAATGTTTGGATTTGTTTGCAAAGACAGCGCTATTGTCGGCGATGACAGCGATTACAGGCATTGAATGGCAGAACCGATGCACCACTTCGTGGAGGGAATCAGAGTTGACGCCTAAACACTCGCTTTAGCCCAACACAACCCCCACTACAGCCCTCCACACCTCCCGACACCCCCTCCCACTCCACTGTCCGGCCGGTGGTTAGCAAATGATGACAATTATATGGTTTAGTCTTACCTTCAATACAATGTTTGTTGTCTTCCACTTCCAGAGGGCATCAATTGGTGAGAACTATAAGATGTGAGACATTATAGGCATCACTACTGCCTCAACAGTAAGACGGCCTCAACAACAGTGCTCTCAATCACCACCAGATTGGGGAACACACTATGGCTCACACACTCACACACAGTGTCGGGGAGTGTTGTGCGCCTATGAGAGAGTGTATGTGAGAGGGAGTGGAGAGTATGTGTGAATCGATTGAGACGACCGTTTTGTGTGAAGCGTTACAAACGAAAAGCCCATTCAATGCTTACCATAGGCTGGCGTTTAGGCTTATGGTGTGCCAGAGATTCAGGGGTTGTCTCCACATTTCAGTCATTATTTATACTTTTTTTTGTGCGAAAATATTTTTACTTTTTTAGTGTAATTTTTGTCTCCTTTTTTCGAGTTTGTGTTCACACGAAATGCTTGTCACTATTATTACATGTATTTGTTTTAATGAATTGACATTAAATAACAATTATATGAATAATAAATGCATACATTCTATACTTGTGTAATACAACTAATTCTAATGGTATAAACTTTATATAATTACAATATTACGGTATAAGGGGGCGAATCATCCCTGACTTGTTAATTGAACATGGCCCTTTTGGTTAAGGCTTAACCGTTAAGCCTTACAGTTAAGCACTACATTGTATGGATAATAATTCTGGAATAATAAAGGAATTCTTGCAAAATAAATCATATATTAGCTCATCTATAATAATAATGGCCATGGTCTATGAATATTGACCATGACTATGACCAGTTAGTAACTAACTTAAATAAGTTATTACACAATATTGAAGTTAACATAACTTGTGAATCATAAGTTATGATTCATATCTTGAAAGTAAATTATAAATATACTTCACATATATTTGTTTTGGCAAGGTGATTTAATTAGCATAATTGCTATTTCATTAAATTATGTTAAGCTAATATTTATGATGATAATAAATTATGATCATTTACTTTTCTTTAAGAAGTATTATAAAGAATTTGTCTTATAGTCCACTGAATATGAAACATGAATGAAACAAATGTTTATCACACTATTCTTTCATATTGTGGTCATATTTACTAAAATTGTTAATAATTGTAATTAAAGAGAGAATAGCCTTTAGTTTTAAACAAAATATGAAGACGATCAAATAGTTGTCAAGTGTGTATTTAGTATGTCTATCCCAAGTTAAACTTGAATGAGACAAAATGCATGTATAGTTAATTGAATGAATTATAAACTTGTTTTTCAATTCGTTTAATCGATTTATTTGCTCTAAAATCACGATCTGTTAAGTGATTGACATTAATGTAGACATAAATTGAGAAAAAGAAAAATAGAGAACAGTTTATAAAGAAAGTTAAGGGATTTTCAAATTAAATTAGATTTTAATTGGTTTAAACACTTTTAAAATTGATGGACTGTTGACTTGACTTTATTCCTCGTCAACCACTTTGGACTTTGGTCTCGGCTTTCCCATTGGCTGTCAAATGAAATGTCAAACAATAATTAATATCAATGCTAATCGTATGGATAGTGAGAATGGGAATGACATACGCCTGGACTCATGGCACGTGTAGTTGAAGCCGAGCTGCGATTTCTGGCTCTAAGTTTGGCCAAAGCGTTCTCAGACATGTCTGCCCTCTCCTCCGCGTCTTCCAACTCCTGTTGAACTTTCCTAAACTTAGCCAAATTCAAAGCTGCGATCTCTTCCGCCTCTTCGATCTGTCTCTTATATGTCTTAATCTTTTGCTGCAATTTGTCGACCAAGTCTTGGATGCGTTCGTGATTCTTGCGGTCTTCGTCCGCTTGGAATTGCAATTCTTTGATTCTTCGTTCGGCTTTTCGCAAATTCTTGGACGCGTCTCCGTGTCGTCTCTGTTCCGAATCCAACTCCTGTTCCAATTCTCGCACTTTCTGTTCCAGTTTTTGGATAATCTTTTTGCCGCCTTTAAGGGCCGCCGCCTCGGCCTCGTCGAGTCGGACCTGGAGTTCTTTGATCTGTTGCTCCATAGCCTTCCTCAGCTTCTCCTGTTGCTGTGCGTGTTCCTGCTCTGCGCGCAACTCGTCGGCCAATCGCGCCGCGTCTACCATCGCCTTCTTCGCCTTCTCCTCAGACTGTTTCGCCTCATTCAACATCTCATCCAAGTCTGCCTGCAATGCCTGCATCTCTCCCTCAAGTTTCCTCTTCGCCACAGTTAGGGAAGAGTTCTGAGCCGAGAGTTCATTATTGTTCTCATGGAGTTCACCCAACTCCGCCTCCGCACTCCTTCGGGCCCTATCGGCCTATCATTACAAACATATCGTTAGTTATTTTGGTTACGAAAAAGCAAAAGTGATTCAACAAAACCTGTTCGAGCAGTTGTCGGGTCTCTTCGAGCTCGCCGTGAAGTGCATTACATCTGCGTTCAGCCATAGCGTACTGTTCGCGGGCCTCATCTCTGGCGCGCTGTTCCTCTTCGTAAGCGGTTTGCAATTCTTTGAGTGTTTGCTGATATTTCTTGATATTCTTCTGGGCCTCAGCGTTGGCTTTGTTCGCGTGATCCAAAGCGATCTCCAACTCATTGATATCGCTCTCCAACTTCTTCTTCATTCTCAACGCCTCAGCCTTTCCTCGAGCCTCAGCCTCGAGACTGGCCTGCATTGAGTCGAGCGCTCTTTGATGGTTCTTTCGGGTGTTCTCGAACTCCTCCTCCTTCTCCTGGAGTCGTCGGTCGATCTCTTGTCTCACTTGAGACAACTCGAGCTGAGCCCTCAGCACTTTGTTCTCCTCCTGTTCGAGAGCGGCCTCCGCCTCCTCGAGCGCCGCCTGAAGCTCTTCCTTCTCCATCTCTAGCCGTTTGCGTGATTTCTCCAACTCGTGAACAGATCGTCCGCCTTCTCCCAACTGATCCAACAGGTCTTTGATCTCGTCCTGAAGATTCTTGTTCTCGCGTTTGACGGCGTCGTACTGTTCCTGACTTTCCTCATAAGCGGCTCTGAGTTTGAAGAGTTCTGTCGAATAGTTTCGGCACTCTTTCTGCGAGGCGTCGAGTTCTGCGGCCAAATCGTCCACTTTTTGTTTCCATTCGGCGACAATCTTGTCGAACGACTTCTGCTTCTTCTCCAAAGTGGAGGCCAAAGCGTTGGCTCTCTCGACCTCAATGGCCATGTCTTCGAGCTCTCCCGACAATCGCTGTTTGGTCTTCTCGAGTCCCGACACTTTGGCGTTGAGCTGTTCGATGTGTTCGTCGGCCTCTTGTAATTTGACGCCCAACTTCTTCTTCGCCTCCTCGAGCTCTTCAAGTCTGGCCAACCCTTCGCTCTCGAACTTTGTCCTCCATTGTTGGATCTCAGCGTTCGCTTTACTGAGTTGTCTCTGGAGGTCGGCCTTAGCCTCGATCTCTTCGTCGAGCGATTCCCGGGCGCCGTCCAAATCGTGCTCAAGGTTTCGGAATTTACCCAAAATTGAAGCTCTTTCCTAAGAATCGCACAAAAATATTTTTAATAAGATTTGCATATTTTGCAATCATTTTGAAGCCAAGACAATGACATACTCTGCTCTCTTCATCGGCGGTTCGTTTCGCTTCGTCGAGCTGTGTCTGGAGTGATGTCTTCAATTTACCCAACTGTGCGACTTGTGATTCCGCGTCCTCGAGCTGTCTCTGGAGCTCTGAGTTCTCTGCGGCCAACTTCTTCTTTGCGGCGTCGAAGTCACCCAAAGTCCTATTGGTTTCGTCTAACTTTCCGGTCACTTCTCCCAATTGCATCTCCAACTGCTTGTTCTGCTTCTCTGTGTTAGCCTTTTATTTGCCAATTATTGAATTGAATTTATGTTAGAATTACTCTCTAATTATGATTTAAATATTAATGTCAAACAATGCGTGCATTTCTTCAAACACAATAAAAACTTTATGTTAATCAATGAAAATCAATATAAAAACCAAATTTTTAAAAATGCATCCAAATAAAATTCAAACAATCAAATAAATAGACAAAACACACAATATTGGAGACCAGGGGTGAAGGGATACCTGATTTTTGGTGGTGTGATCTACAATCCCTTGAAGATCGGATACTTCGGCAGCCAAAGTGGCCTTTTCTTTCTCTAATCTGTTTCAATGCAATCAATTTCATGCATCACTTTATTAGCAAACATATAAGGGATTTATTTAAAACATTTGGAAATCTTTAAATGCATTTGTGCTGAGAAAACACAACCAGAATTGATGGGGGAATGTATTTATGGTATTCTATCACTACCTCTAATAAACATTGTATTGTAACCAAGAATTCATTTCAAATCCATATTTAAATGCAAATGTCATACACTATTGAAACCCAATGCTAGAAGTGATGCTAAAGGGTATGATGTGATTACCTTATCCCGGGACAGGTGTTCCACACTGGCCTTAACGTCGTCGAGTTCACCTTTTATTTGTTGCTTTTCCTTTTCAATCCTATTTTCCAATTATCAATCAATTTTGCTCTTTTAAAACACACTTTCATTCCTCTAAACTTAGCTCATAATCAATCAAAAGTTATAAATAGTTTGCCTTTAAAGACATTAAAACTTTAAAGAAGTCTATTTACTGATAATCCACAGGAATTTTCAGGGAATACTTTCGGGTAATATTTGTTTTGGAAAATAACTACAAAATTGAACTAAATATGGGTTTCAGACTCCGAGAGAATTACTTAATCTACAGATCTGTGGATAAATGTTTTAAACGATATGTTTGTAGCGATGTATACCTGGCTTTGGCTTTGTTGAGTTGGTCCACCTGTTCGGACAGTTCGGACACTGAATCGTTGTTTTTCTTTCTGAGAGCAGACATAGTCTGTTCGTGTTGTAAATTGGATTCTTCGAGATCTCGTCTCAATTTAGACATCTCTGCTTCGCGTCGTTTATTCATTTCGATCTGCGAAGAGGTGGCTCCGCCCGCTTCCTCCAGTCTTTCGCTCAATTCCTCGATCTCTCGCGAGAGGTCTGCGCGTTGTTTCTCAGCCTTCGCTCGGGCCTGACGTTCGGCCTCCAACTCCTCTTCGAGCTCTTCAATGCGGGCCTAATTTGTGGTACAATAAGTGGTTATCAGTTTGTAAATTATTGTTATCGTTAGCGTTGAGACACAACATCGACAATAGCGACAGAATTTGTTGAATATTTTTTTTACAAATGTAAAGCAAATGATTGTATAAATATGTGAAGAAGTGATAGAATCGATAGCGAGTGCCGAAGAGCCGAAGCTGTGGCGCGTAAAGAAGTGGCCGGATATCAGTTGAGTTCCGGTCATGTTTTAAGCAATACATTCATTAACTCGTAATACTTCATAGAGGAAATGGACGACACGGGGACTGTTCTGGAGTATGGGGTCCTGTGCCCGGCGGACAATCCGTTTGCTTTCGGTACTCAGATTACATGTCGGAGGCATATATCGGGCTTTTGTCTGCAACGGATAAAAAGTGGATTTGTCCGACAGGGCATCGCCGGCACTGGACTGCATCGCTGTCCTCACATATTGAAAGTCACTATCACTTGTGGTATCTCTTAATGGTAATGAATATGAGACGTTGACATCACTATCATCTACACTATCGTATCGATCCATTGGGTATTATGTTTCCTCTGAGCTCTCAGGAGACTAACTGTTTAACTGATGGCGTGAAACGGTTTAGAGAAACACAACCGAACATAATCTAATTCTACACCACTTATAGAATAAGTGATGCTTTTTTACAAAAAAGTGTACTTTTCATAGAGTAGTTGCTTCTAAACAGCAATTCATGAGTCGTTACTACGGAATGTGTGCTCATATAGTCTCAGACACCCCCACAAACACATATCCATTGCTCGTATAATTCTGTGATTCCTTTTCTGGAAACCTTTCCTCAACGAGAGTCCAAACTAGAAGTCATCATAAGTTGACTACAATTATAGACTAATTCATTGGGAGTTTTTGAACATTTGAGTACTGCTTATATAAATAGATACAAATCCCGGCCAAACAAATATTCATAAATTCTGCGCTTTTGCCAAAATTATGGCATTTTGTAGGAAAAAAGAGACAAAATTCTTACCTGAAGTTCTTTGATTTGTTTCTGCAATTTTGCGACCAAACTCTGCTCGTCTTCGAGCTTAGCGGCCAAACTCGCCATCTCTTTCTCCTTGCGTTGAATGGTTTGTTCCAACTCTTTCTTATTCTTCTCGAGATCAGTGACGGCCTCCTGAGCCAGTTTGAGGTCGCCTTCAATCTTACGCTTATTCTTCTCGATCTCTGCCCTCTGTTTCTTCTCTCTTTCGAGACTGTCTTCGAGTTCATCTAAGGTTTGCTCCAATTTTGCCTTCACTTTATTCAAATGATTCACTTTGTCTTCAGTCGCCTGAAGGTCTTCCGATGTCTTTTGACTGACTTCTTGTAAATTCTTCTTCTCTTTATTCAATTTGTTGATGAGTTCGTCCTGATGTGCGATCTCGTCGTTCAGGTTTCGGATTTGATGGTCTTTCGAGGACTTGTCCTGTTCTGCCTATTAGTGCCGCAAACAATCACACAATCACACCATTAATTGTTACTTAATACTCAACGTAACCCTTAATTAAGTCACTAATCAATCATAAATGTGTTAATTAACTTTGAGTGTAAACTAATCTCACTATAATTGCTACGAGAAGTCTTCACAAACATGAAAAACAAAAACAATTAATTACTTTCTGGAGCGAGAGTTCCATGTCTTCAATCTCTTTCTTTTGTTGACTGAGCTCTCCCTCCAACTTCTTCTTGGATGAAGTGAGCGAAGTGTGGGCGTCCTCTTCGTGGGACAGTCGGTCTTGAAGGTCCTGTAGAAGCAAATCGTATTGTTTTTTAATGTTTTTCACATAATCCTCACTAATGTAGTCATTTGGCTCTTCACTCAACACTTCTTTCAAACTATTATCGCGTTTAAAACCATTCACTGTTACATTACATTCATCAATATTTTTTGCTACATTCATGATATCATTGGTCATATCGTTAACTAACTCTTCCATTGTTTTTATTAAATTATAAATTTATAAAAATCTATAATTAATTAAAAATTATTTTAGTTGTAAATGAAAAATAAATTCTAGTGATTTAAACTTCTTCGCGAATTCACATTTCAAGTGGAAATGAATGTGAAAACGTTTTTCAAGTCTTATATAAACTAAACTCAATTTTAAAGTGAATTTCTAGGATTTGACTCAAATATAGAGATCTGGATGTCTTGATTCGCCCACAAAATATGAAAATATTTTATTAACAAAAAGCCAAACAAAATGAAACAGATATTCGCATTGAGAAGAGAGAAAAGTGGAAAAGCATTTTCCTAAATATTTTTATATTTACTTTCAATGCAATAATCATTTAATTTGTTGCCAAAATATTTTGGGAAAAAGTTATAAATTGGTTGCCATTCACTCCATTCATTAAAATTAATTTTTTTCATATGTTTAGTGGAACTCAAGACTTATTTATTAATAAATTTGTTCCCAAAAAACTGAATTTTAATCTAAAAGTGTAATTTTTTAATAGTAATAGTGTTAAACTCACAGAGAGTTGATTCTCGAGGTCTGCCTTCTGTGAAATATGTTTGAGAAGCCTTTCCTCGACGTCTCCCGAAGAGGACCTCTCGGACTCCAATTGGAGGAAGAGATCGTTCTTCTCCTGCAAGAGCTGAACATTTTTGGTCTCGAGTTCTTTGCGGAGTTTCTCCTCCTTCTCGAAGGCCTCGTGTTCTTTCTTCAGCTTATCTTCCAGTGCTTTGAGTTCGTCCTCAACTCGCGCCACATTCAACAGTGGCTTCACTTTGGAGTACAACTTCCACCACAACCAGTTCCTCAAAGTCAAGAATTTGCGCAAATTTCGTTG